CAACAAAGGTACGAACATGAAAAATGTTATAACTTTATGCTTAACTCTCTAGGCATATCATAGCCTAAGCATTCTTTCGAGTATGAATACTTGCCCTGATGCTTGAACATTGTCTAAAACCTCACATATATGCACACTTATAGCCCGCAACTATCATAAATAATTAACGCAACTAGTGCTTCCACTGAATTAAAATAAAATACTCACCTCAAATAGGCCGCAACCCGAAACAATATACTTTTGAGGACTCCTAGTCTCCAAATTCATCAAACACATAAATCACCGTAACTTATCCCAACTACAGCACTAGAATGACTAACACATCTTCCATTCACGATCTTCCCATGAGGAATACTTTTATAATTCTTCCGTGCCACACAACAATAATTAGAATATCAGCAGTCTATCAACCAAGTGAGTATTACAATACAAATTAATGTCCGTAAGTTGAAACACAATGCGCCTTTTGAAATGCACACCCTTCTCGGGGATTATCAAGCAGTTATAACATTCATCTAAATATCTAAAACTGACCCTTATGTCTAAAATTTGTGATTTTCCTTTTAATAATGAACTGCCACCTTGTACATGTAAATCAATATCCGGCATAACACGTTCCCCACACCGGTAGAAAACAAACCATGGTAGAAACCATCATGAACACTTTGAAATCTATTTGCACATAACCAAGCTATCAGAACTGAACTCCTCTAACTCGACCAAACCACACATGTTGCCAAATCCGAGAGTATTGCCATAAAACACCCGTAAAGCCTCACCTCATCATAAGAACCAAAAGAATCGAGCATACCATTACCATATCGATCCAGCATGTTACTTATTTGTCCTATTTTCTCCGAGTTTCTTCTGAATTACCCTCAAGTTGACATTTCTCCTTGTCATAACACTTCTATCCTTACCCAAAGCTCCCTACAAGACATCCTAACATAGAACCACATCGTCCTAAGGCCCATAAGCCACTGTATTCTTCTTAAGCACCTCCATAAATACCCCAACCATAACACTCACTCTAAAAATACCTTATATGAATTTAAAATTGTTCCTCTTTCCTTTCTTATACTGAAATGTAGAATCCTTAGTCAAACAGAATTACCGCACGTCCTGATACCATCCAATGTAAATAATTGATTCTAGTGATATACAAGTTTGAAAAATTTTCAATTTTCACATATACGTTTTGAATCCATTAGAACCCTCTCGAGAGTCATCCACTCTGCTCAAATATAATTTACTCCGCCCCACACGGGCCGAAAGACATGTGCTCCTTTAGCACAATCAACACTTAAATAAGTAACCCTGCCTTATCACGACCAATCAAATTCATACTTCGTGTGCACTACATCCTTCAAAATAACATCATATTTTCATAAAGTGCAATATATCCCGTATCCAGGAGTTTACTTACCCAAGTCATCCTCGATCTCCTCCTCTGTAAGTCATAACTAAACCACAAATATGCCTTGTACCAAAACTAAAATTTAGCACATAACCATGAAATCGAACTATCAATAGCAGGCTCCACCACTTAGCCTTAAGCTGCTATTATATAAAATTAGAACCTGTAAGGATTTCTCCTTTTCAATTACCAAGATCTCACACCGTTAACCCACCAAATTTCTCAAAGTCTTTTGTTAAGCTTTTCATGAATATTTTGAATCGACAGCCATAGTCACACACTCGACCTCTTACCGAGTAGCAAGTAATATTCCTCGCAAAAGCTTCATCAACATCACGCCACCTCTAACTGCTCACAAGAGATAACCCACCTGTGGAATTCTTTACCGGCATCTCTCAACGACACTGCACTGGGTGCAATGACCACGCAATCAGTAAATTCTCCTAAGCTCATGCTCGCCCACCATTTGTATAAGTCTGCACTTTCCCTTTTGACATAAACTGAAAGTTTAACAATACCTTCTCAACTCAAGTCATATTGCGCCTGAAACGGTAATCAAATCTTTCTCCGTACAGTAACCATCACTCCAAATATAGTTTGTAGGCCAAATCACATTTTATCTCGATTCCAAACCGTTTTACTCTTTCTCAAGGCGCGCGACTACCCTACCACAGAATCCATAAGATAATCTGCCACCCTTCCTTCGGTTAACCATTTCATTTAAGTAACTTCTCAAACTCCACTTCCCCTACTTGACCTGCTAGTATTTCAACCACTGCAAAACGCTTCTCGTCATGTCTTCGCTCATACTTTGCTGCCCAATTGCTGCATCAACTCAAAACGCATCTATTTCGTACCAGAACCAACAGAATGTTACCGACTCTAAGTCTCTTAGAAGATTATCTTTCTCGAGCCATCATCATCAGAAATACCCATTCGCAACCACAATTACTACACAATCACTTACTCTTCTTGAGTCCAAATTCATTGACAAAACATGAGAATTAATTTGCCCCAAAATTTAACAACGTGAAAGATCTTTCAAAATATTGACACTAGAGATTGTATGTCACATCAAAATGAAAATAAAGTACCCAATGGCCTTCTTTTACATTTCAAGGAATCCCTTATCGTCACATTCAAATCATCTTAACACATTCCGCAGTTATATCATACTCATCACAAAGCCATTATACCGCTCATCGAGCCACAAATTCCACTTATAGGGATATTGTCGGACATATGAGTCCAAGTGTACAGGTTACAACTGAAGCTACCCAGCCTAAGCTGCGGTCTAAACCTAGCCCCAAGTCCTACAGATTGACCCATCACCAAAACACAGAATACATATCTTGAACCTCGTCCATATAATCACAAGCCGGCGATGCACAGCTGATATCGAGCGCTCATGTGCGCATACGAATGCGTGGAAGGAATTCAAAGAGTTATGTTACAAGCTGAATCAATTGGCTTTATATATATTGATTTATGATGGGATCGGGCTACACGCCGCAGCATGTTTTATTGATTTATGCCATGATTGGCTTGATATAGCGCTTGGGCTGAAGGAGACCCTCTGGAGTCTGTACACACCTCCAGTGAGCGCGGGTACCTACTGAGTGCGAGTGCCGAGCGATTGGGTGGATTGAGTCACTGTGAGGACTGAGTGACTGGGAGGACTGAGTGAAATGATACTCTGAGAGTATGCATATGGTTTTATTACTGAGTTGCATCGCATTGACATGCACATTTGGCATACATGCATAAAGATACATTTTTCCTCATGTTGTACGATATTACGCCATTCATGACTTCTCCTACATGTTGACATATATGCATAGAGATGTATTTTTCTCATACTATTTAAAAATAAAATATTTACCTGTTGAAAGTTTTGGAAAAAATTATAATTTTCAAACTTACTCATAAATTGGTAATTTTGGTAAAGGATTTGGGTTTTCAATGAAAAGCAGAACTATGTTTTTGGAATTGTGAACGAGCTGAGTATTTTATCTCTAAGCTACTTCTTTTATTACTTTCATTATGTTGTTATGAACTGCTGTTGGCTATTGGTGTTGGACATCAACCTTTGTTCCAGCTCGTCATTACTTTTAACCTAAGGTTAGGTTTGTTACTTACTGAGTACATAGGGTCGGTTATACTCATACTACACTTCTGCACCTTGCGTATAGATATTGGATGCTAATGTTGTTGTGATCGACGTGAGCTGGATTTGAAGACATTCATGTGTTCCAGTCGTAGCTGCCTCCTGTTCATGGTAGCCTTAGATTTATAAAAAATCTGTTTGTGTACATTTCAAACAGATAATGTATTTATTTCATACCATCTTTGTAAATTCTAATCTTAGAAGCTCATGATTTGTACTATTAGTCCTTGAAAAATGTATAAGATTCAGATATTTTCTCTTATTTATTTGTCTCATTAGGTTTCATTGGAATTGGATAGTTGTTAATTGGCTTACCTAGCGGGTTGGGTTAGGTGTTATCACAACTAGTTAGATTTGTGGTCGTGTGAGGTAGATGTCCATAACTCTTAATGGAATATCCATAACTCTCACTACTCATTTCCACTATGTTTAATTGTTTATAACTTTCATCTTCTCCGTGATCTCAATTGCTTAATTAATGTTATGTTTAAGGCATTTTTTTGTATACATCTATGTAATACTATAAATAGAAGATGAGAAGTTATATTATATACATTTGAAAAATACTTGAAAAAAATAAGAAAAATAAGAAAAGCTCTCTATCTCTTTATCTCTCTTTATCTTTTTTGTTTTGTTGCTTTCATATTTTGGTATATTAATTGTACTAATTCTTTTGGCTTGATTCTACCATATATCTTACTTTATTTGGAATTTTTTACTACAACGATCTTCCGAACCTTGTAGCATTGTGCTTAATGGGACTATTTATTGGCCCTAGTGGATCGTTAGTCCAACAAGACAATGACTGCCAAGTTTCAGAAATTAAGTCCAAAAGAATTGGGAAAATGACAATGTATAGTCGCTTTTAAAATAGGGTGAACGATACAATTATCATTTATCATTACCTACCAATTTACTTTTCTACCCATCAAACTAATTACATGTAAGGTCCTGCAGTTATTAGGCTTAAAATTTTGATAATTAGAGACTTAATTATGAAATTAATATGCCCCAAGGGGTAAAAAGATTTTCTTGATTTAAATGAAGTGTTTGGAAATACGCCAATATGTTCATAGTATGAATTAAAAGAGTCCATTCAGTTTTTATTTTTGTTTCTTAAGTATAGTCTTTCTTGATTATGGAATATATATATAGATGAAAGGTGTGTGTATGTATATGAATATACTTGGAAGATCTGTTAAAAGCATTAAATAGGATAGCAATTAAATAAGTTACAAGCACAATGAAAGATTCTTGTGAGACATAAATCAGTGGGCCAATTGTTCAAGTCCAATAGAATGGATTATAAGTTAATTAAATAGTTGGGCCAGCCCACTTTGTAAATGACCTAAGAATGATCAAATGAATTAGAAGGGAATAATTGCTTCCAAAGGAAAAATGCTACAGAGAGGCTACGTAAGTTTTCTGCCAACTGGTTCATCAATGCTAGAGGGGTTTAGAAAATTGAATAAGAGATAGAAAGCGCATGGATTTGTTTTTCTCAGAAAGAACAAAAATCAAGAAACTCATACACTGGTATTTTCAGCGCTGTCGCGTACAAGGTATTAACTGATCATACTTTATGATTACTACCCTCTGAGATATGACATGGTTAAGAAAGATAAGTTACACACATTAAAATCAAACCCGAAGATGAGAATTCGCCCAGTTGAGAATTGGGTAATTCATGTCTGAGGGTAATAACTCAATTTTGATAAATTAAACTAGTTGACTGTATTTTGATTTATTTGGCCCTAATATTTATAGATCTCCCTGGACACTCGTAGAAGTTGAACATGCGAATATGCGCGTAAATTTGAGGTAAGTTTTAAGGCTTACTCTCCTAATAAGAAATTCTATTAGAACCCATGTGTTCCATGTATTCGATGAAATTCTTAAAGCATTGTCTTCTTGTACTTTTTTACTCAATTTATTTTGTTCTTACTTAGTACCACTTTACATATGACAGAATTACATGATTACGTGTATTATCACTTGTTATGTGTCGTTGTTTGTGATATTTACATTCAATTCAGTATTCAGTTTCAGCATTCATTCATGTATTAATGTGATCACATTCAAAAGGGAGAGCTAGCCGACCTCCCCTTGCGTGAGTGCCACTAGGGCTAGGTATAGCTACCCCATGCTCGTAGGGGCTATTGTTTGTTGGGGAGATAGGCCGACACTCCCCCATGCGTGTTGCCATATCTCACGTATACAGGGACACTATGTGTAATTATTTTGAAAAGTTATCTCTTTAAAAATAACTCAGTTTTTAGCTTCATTTTCAATTACCAGGTTCAATTGTCAGTTTTATAGTACAGCTTGTAGTTTTAGTTTTCAGCTCATTACTTGTTTATAGATTTAATTATTTTTCTTTTTGCGTAATATCCTGTGAACCTACTTCTTTTCATATTATGATCTTTTCCGGAAGGTCTCGCTCCGCCTTTTTAGGAGGTAGCTTTTGAGATTTATTGGATATCCTACTATCCTTTAGTGGTACTTAGCTTGTTTGGGCATATCACGTCGTGTGACAGGTGTTGAGATTGTAGGTGAAGAGACACGTGGCTAGATACAAACTCTGCATACTCACTTGGTGAGCTCAGTTGATGTTTCCTAGCAGTAGCCGAATATCTTCAGCTTATGTTATTTTCCATGGCATATTATTTATTCTCGGGGAATGCCCCAAAGTTTATGTATTCCAATTTAATCTTTAGAGGCTCATGATTGTTTGATGGGTTATGGTTCACAATTCAGCTACATTAAAATCACATAACTTAGTTGTCAGATTATTGGTTTAATTCAATTTTAGTTATTCAATTTATGACATTAACACTCATCAAAGACTAGTTAAGGGTTCACTCAACAGTCAGATAGAGTTGGGGTGCCAATCACGTCCTATCTAGATTGGGGCGTGACATTACCTTTCCTGCCTATTGTCTTTTTTTTCCTTTTCTTTTTTATTTCTCACCTTCTTGTCTTTTTTCCTTCTTTTCTCATTTTCTTTTTTCTCCTTTTCTTCTTCTTCTTTTTCTTCTTTTTTCTTTTTCTGTTTATTTATTTTGGTCCAAATCATATTATTATTATTATTATTATTATTATTATTATTATTATTATTATTATTATTATTATTATTATTATTATTATTATTATTATTATTATTATTATAATAATTTAATTTACACTCAATTTTGACTCCTTTTTTTTTTGCTGTTGTTTACTTTTTTTACTTCTTGTTCCTTTCCTAATTTCATTTAACTTCTTTTTTTATATTCTTTTTCTCTTCATAATCTAATTTTATTTACTGTTTTCACTATTTTTTTATTATTATTATTTTATATAATAAGAAAAAATAATTGATATAGTAAATATTTGTTCACTTTTTTAATATAACTAGTATCATATACCTTTTGTCTTTTTTTTTTTCATTTCTTTAATTCAATTATTAAACTGAAATAATATCAGTTGCCACTTGATCTAATTCACTGAATATTACACTGACTTCTGTTGAGCACCATAAATTACATAATCAGATTCTAAAAATCAACACGTGATAGCCATGCAAAACTTGATCTCCTTCCCTACAAATATCAGTACACACTCTACCATTAGCAATAACACAACCAGTTATGGAGAAAGAAAACACAATTTACAACCATCAAATCTCCATATATAGTAGTTAGAATAGAAATGATAATAAAATATTAAAAAATACAATAAAAGATATAAGTAGCAAAAAAGACTTCTAGTACCATATGATACAAATATGGTATACATGTATACCAACAGAGTATATGATTGCTCTACAATATTGCTACAACTATCTGCGACTATACTACTGTACCAAAATATTAAAGGATATAATAAAAGTATGAGAAAATTACATGCTCGCATTGCAAGCTAAATATTCGCAAAGCAACTTGCTCATTACGTATACTAACAGGGTATATAGTTGTATGAGGTCGTTCCAACAATTGCCAATAACTATAAAAACTATTACATAATATACATAATCTATGTCCATCGGCACAAAAAAATTCCAACACTGCAAATCACGTTCATATAAATAATTTCAAAATAGAATTCACTTAAAAATGCAACTAAAACAATCAATGTTCAAACTACCATATGATACCAATATGGTATATAACTATACTAACATGACATATAACTATACCAACATGGTATACAGTCTTACTGGTTAATTTTCAGCAACTATATGACTATACTACTATTACATAACACACATGCATAAAGAGAAAAATAAAAAAAATAGTGTACCACATATTAATATAATAAAGTATTTCAAGATATTGTACTGTATTACTATTATTAAAAGTAAATCAAATAGTGTACCAATTAAATACAGCTAATACAACCAAAAAAGGATACAACTAATATATGATACCAATATAGTATATAGCTATACTAATATGGTATATAGTTGTACGGGGTCATTCCAACAACTGCATATAACTATAAAAACTATTACATAATATACAAAATCTATGTCCATGGGTACAAGAAAATCCAACACAACAAAACGTGATCATATAAATTATTTCATAATAGAATTCACAAAAAATGCAGCTAAAACAACCAAAAAATATTTCAACTACCATATGATACCAATATGACATATAATTATACCAATAGGGTATACAATTCTACTAATTAATTCCAAGCAACTATATACGACTATACTACTATAACATAATATACATATATAAAGAGAAAAATTAAAAATTAATGTACCACATATTAATATAATAATATATTTCAAGATATTATACTATAATACTATTATATAAAATAAATGCATAAAGAAAAAATCAAAATGATTACATAATACACATGCATAAAGGAAAACTAAAAAAATTCAAGATACTGTACTATTCTACTATTACTAAAGAAAAATCAATCAGTGTACCAATTAAATGCAGCTAATACAACCAAAAAAGGTTCCAACTAACATATGATACCAGTATAGTATATAGCTATACCAACAGGGTATACAGTTGTACGCAAAGAGTTTTAAAAAGATTTTTTAATTCAATTATTGAACTGAAATAATATCAATTGTCACATAATCTAATTAATTCAATTTTGTGCGTCATCGATTATACTAAAATTTAGATATGTTATTTTGCCTTCAGCTTAATCACTTCTGTTGAATACGAGTTCTACTAAAAAGGCCGTGATGACAACTCCTTTTTTAGGCAGAGATAGATGGACGAGTAATTAATTTTGGTGGAATAGGTATGTATTGTAATTATTTTTAAAATAGGTATAAACGGGTAATTATTTTGACTTGAGTAGGTAGTTAGTATAAATTGCTCTTCAAAATAATAGTTGAAAAATATATATTTTATATATATANATATTTTTACGGCTATCGGATATAAATAGATTCGGAAGCAGTAACCTTTCCCGAAAGGATCGGCATGTCAGTAATGAAGGCCAATATATTCGGTTCTCTTAATCGAATAATCCAATGTAATCTTACTTTTCTAAGTTCATGAAGTAATAGTATTTAAACGTTAAGGGATTGGTAAAAGTCTTTGCAGTATTGGGAATTAATTGAAGTCATTTTATTTTTAAAAGAAAAAATTATTTAAAAATTATAAACAATTACGACCAAACAATGGTTTTGTTGTTATCGCCAACAAGGGTCACCACAACAAAAACACTTGTCTAAGACTCTGGATGCGATGGAAACAAGTAATTAGCCGGCCAATATTGCTTGTACTTTGGACCAAAAAAAGAGAGACAAAAAAAAAATCATTAACCAAATCACACTTGTCCTCGCTTATATTCAAAAGTTTTCATAGTTAGAATAGAGAAAAGAAATTAAGATAAAACAATTCGGAATTAGTATGAATTTCGCAATAGACCCTGTCCACTGTAAGTATAGCCGTCAAAATAGCACGGGGTTACCAGTTTTCGGATTGGTAATTAAAAAATAGTCAGCCTTTATAAAGTTATTGAAAAATAGTCACTATTTTTTGCGGATATAAAATCTGGACAAAAATATCCTAATTGAAATATGGAAAGTTCCAACATAATATGTTGGATTGGAGTTCCTACGTATTAACTTTCAGTATATTATATTGAAACTTCAGCTAATTATAAAATTCCAGCATGCTATACTGCAATCTCATATGTAAAAAATTCATAATTTTTCTGAATTTTAAAAATATTTTTTTTAATTTTATTTTTACATGAAAAAATAACTAAATTCTAATTATCTTTGAAATTATAATTAATTTTTAAATAAAAGTCTTAAATCAGGTTATTTCTGATTTTTTGCCGGTATATCCGTGGTTTAAAAAGTGAAGATATCTGAGGCTAAAACTGTGGAGAAATCGAGGACCACCATGATTTGTCGCTTCTTCCTATTTTGTATAATATTGGTCATGGTCACTTTATTTGTCGGAAAACACAAGAAATTAAACTCAATAGTTTTCTTATAAATTCTAGAGTAGCTTTTATCATAACTTTGTAGAAGAGGCTTACTTATCTTATAGTTTAAGGCTTTATATATCCGTCTTTGATTTTTGCTTCTTGTTTTGTCTGGTTCAATAATACTGCTTATTCTAGTGAATTTTACGGACCTATTATACCAAGAGTTTCTCAAGCTCAAATATTTACTTTTCTAGTTAGAGACCAACATCTTGGGGCTAACGTGGGATCGATCCGCTCAGAATCAGCAATGACAGATGATGGTAGATGGAGTTTTCAAGGCACTACTGCTATTGTCACTGGAGGCACTCGAGGGATAGGGTGATTCGATTTTCAGTTTACTACTCTTAATCGATCTATAATAAGTCATGATACAGAATATATATTAATTACATATAGTAAATTTATCATTAATTGTTTGTTGTTTTTGACTGCACATTAATTAGGCATGCAATTGTAGAAGAATTGGCAAGTTTTGGAGCAAATGTTTATACGTGTTCACGTAACCAGATGGAGCTTGATGAGTGTCTTCGACAATGGAAAACTAAGGGTTTTAAAGTGGAAGGATCTGTGTGTGACTTACTATCAAGATCTCAAAGAGAAAAGTTCATGGACACCGTTAGCAACTATTTTGATGGAAAAATTAACATTCTTGTAAGTTAAATGTTGCACAAAGATCTTCTTTTTCCTTTTAGTTTTAATGATTCTGTATTCGAAGCCTATTGGTCGATCAATTTGGGCTAGATAGGTCTACTAACAGATCAGTAAGACGCTCCATCCTATTAAAAGATTCTCCATTCACATGGCTCGAACACAAGAATTCAGTAATGAAGGGTGGAGATCTAGTAGTGGAGCTAGAAATTATAACAAGAGGATTCATAAAATAATGAAGGAGCATTACAGGATTTAAACTTGTGACCTAAATCAATTTTGAACCACATTTATTACTACACTTAAGAATTTCCTTGAGACAAGGGGATTTAAAAAATTATATTTTACACATTAAAATTGTTTGACGAAGGAATACAATTAAACCCTATTCATTAAACTTAATTAGCTCTGTCGATTGGTGGAGAGATCGCAACAGTCCCGTTACACACCTTGGTGGTGGAACCAGTTAATATCATAAAAAGAAAACAATTTTTTTTAGTACATGCTTATAATTTTACGCTAGCTCATTTTCATGACATATATATAGTAATATAACTTGACTTTCTTTTTTGTTAGATAAATAATGCTGGTGTAGCTATAGCTAAATTAACAACGGAGTTCACTCATGAAGATTACAAC